AGGTCCCATCTCTGAGCTCTGCAGTATCCACGTAATTAATTCATCTCGGTTTCAGATTTGCACCCTCCCCCAGCTGGCAGGGTGAGCTTGCTAACCGGCAACCCCGCACTGGTCACTCCTCCACTTAAAATCCTCTTTGTCTTCCGGCCATCCCAGCTTCCCAGCCTGGAATGTGAGGCTCCCGCCTTGTCCAATGCCCGACCACATGCCTCACTCTCTCCCACCCCGAACCTCTGGCTGGTCCCTCTCGCTGGCAGGGTCTTTACCAGAGTCTTCTGGTTCCTCCCAACCAGCTTTCAAATGCTCCTTCTCCCTGAAAGCCGCAGGATCTGGCTCATCGTCCACCCTGCTGCTGCCTGGCCGCTGTCCTTCCCGCCTGCTGCTCTCACGGGACCCCTGGCCCAGTTTGTTTGGGGCTGTCTCCTCTCTGAGCTCCTCAAGGGCGGGATTCTGCTCCCTCTGCCTGTCTCCCCAGCACGTGGCAGGGCCAAGCGTTCCCAGCCTCAGCGTGCTCTGTCCTGTTTGCAGTGGCACCCAGCGCTGCGCAGCGTGTGGGGCCCGGCAGCAACCAATACGACGCAGCGTGTGGGGCCCGGCAGCAACAAATACGCTGAGCGAACGAGCGATGGAGTGTACGCTCTCCACCCCCCAGAAAGTGCAGTCACCGGGACCACCCTTGTGAGGCGTCCCGCTCCCGCCCCCTGCGCCCCCATAGTGAGAGAGAAGGGGTGTGCGGGATTCTGTAGGTGCGTGTAACCTGGCACACCCATCCAGAGGCTGCCAACCCCTGCACGCCACTCCAGCGCCGCCCGACAGAACTGCCAGTGACAAGGAACCTCCCGTCAGTCCACACGCCACTGCTGGCATCGAGGCGGGCTTAGTGGGACTGAGGCTCCGAACTTTGCATCTGCTTTCACTTTAACTGATATCAATTGTAATGGCCGTGGGTGGCCCGCGCAGGAATGACTGTAATCACCTTCAAATGCCACCGCAGAGCCCCTGAAGGTTGGACAGGGTCATTGCTAGTAGAAGGTAAGACCAGCTTGGAGCGGAGGGGCGACTGTAATAGATCAGGGAGCGCATCCGGCCAGATAAGCTAAACCACTTCTGAATCGGCATTTCTCCAACTGACGTGATTCCGGGGCGCCTAACTGGTGCTGGACACAGGCTCCATGTTCATCGGCGCCTCCTCGCCCTGCGGAGGGCTGCTCCCATGGCCGGGGCCTTTGCGTCCACAGGAGGGGACCCGTTCCAGTGAGGTTAGCGCCGTCCGGGCCAGGGAGGGGGCCGCGGGAGGCCCGGAAGAGCCACCCTCCAGGCTGGGGTTGAAATGGACATGAAACTCACAGCAGGAACCCAGCATCCCACGCTCTTGTGGGATTGTTAGAGGACGTGGACCGAAGCCCTTCGCTGCCGGCCAAGTGGTTCTGCTCCGCAGTTACTCGCTTCTCCCCGTGGCTTGTCCTCTGCTGCTCCACCTCAGCGAGCCAACATGAACTCATGGGCTCGGCCTCCCCCCCAGAGCGGCGTGTCCTGAGGCGCCCTGTGTCAGCGGGCCGGACGCTGCAGGCTCCGCTTCCTGGGCTCACAGAGCGCGTGGGGCCCTCTGGCTGCCTCACCCGTGGGTTCCGCAGAGGTGGTACATTCTTGGAGACCAAATCCTGGAACCAGCGCTCAGAAACAACACCCTCCCTCCGCGCCCCCCCCCCCCCCCCCCCCCCCCGCAATGCTTCGCTCAGCAATGGCTTCCAGTGGAAGAAAAGGCCCGGCTTTAGCTCCAGCACATCCAGACACGCTCTGAACGGACCGCCTGGGCTGCTGCTGGGTCAGCAGGAGCAGAGACGGGGCTTTGCAGAATGTTCCACATTCCTCGGGGCCTAAGCACACATTCTAAGAGATTTCCTAAAAAATAATTTTAGATTTTATGTTCCTTTTTATATGGTTTAAAGAAACTCTGTAATTAAAAAAAAAAAAATCCAGAGCCAGCGAAAGCACAGAGAATGGGTCTAGAGATTAAAAACTCCGTGTCCTTGGAGTCCTCGCTCATCGGGTAAGCGACGCCTCGGGTCCCTGTGCCCGCTGTGCCCACTCCCACGGCAGGGCAGCCAGGCAGGCACAATGCCCAAGGTCACCCTGCCCTGAAGGACGGAGAAACCACACAGGCAACTGCTGTACAGCCATGGAGGGCGGGCTCCAGGCTCATGGGCAGCAGGAGACCTGCAGACTTCCGCCTCCCAGACGCAGGGAGATCAAAGAACACCCAGCCCTCCCCGGCTGTGGACACTAAGGCTGGCCCACAGGCCCGCTGAGGAGGGACAATGGACAATGGCTTCGCCCGTGTGCAGGGGAAGGAAGCGGAAGCAGCGGCTCCCAGGGGCTGCCGCGCTGGAGATTTGTTTCCTTCCCTGTGAACACAGCCTCGTCTCCGGCAGGTGCTGGCTCCCTGGGCCCCGCCCAGCCCTGGCGCAGCTCCCGATGGCTCCAGGAGGGGTGTGAGGAGGCAGCTGGGCCTGGTAGCTGGCGGGACCACCCAGACATGAGACCCCATTGCCCAGGGGCCAGGAGGCTTCTCTCATCCTGGGCTGCCTTTGATTTGCATCTGCCTTTTTTTTTTTTCTTGGTTTTGTTTTGTTTCTTTAATAAGGACAAATGACTATTCCAACATCACTTGTGATGGACAAAAATAAGAGAACTGGAAACAACCTAAATACCCAGAAATTCAGAAATGATCTAAAATATGATGGCCCGTCTATGGAAGAGAAGGCCCCACAGGGGTTAGTAGCCAATGGCCTGTGCCTGCCGAGCCCACAGGGAAGCTGCAGGCCCCGAGGCCAGTGTGTCTTTAAAATAGGCACAGCAGCCCGGTCTGCGTGGCTCAGTGGTTGAGCATCGACCTATGAACCAGGTCATGGCTCGATTCCCGGTCAGGGCACATGCCCGGGGCTGTGGGCTTGATCCCCAGTGTGGGGCGTGCAGGAGGCAGCCGATCAGTGGTTCTCTCTCATCATTGCTATTTCTATCTATCTTTCCCTCTCCCTTCCTCTCTGAAAGCAATAAAGATATATTTTAAAAATAAATTAGTAAAATAAAATACACACGGCAGCTTGACTGGAACCCTGGGAGCCTGATTGGAAGGAGCCATTTGTGAAATGTCCTCTCTGAGACAAGGACGTTTGAGGTTGGACTGGGGAGGGGATGACATGAAGGAATTGTTTGTTTAAATGTGTTTTTAAAACGTTTCTATTGTGACAAGATGCTATGGTCATGTCAGAAAATGCCCATTTTTTTAATGGATGCACACCAGAGAATGTAGGGGTAGATGGGCCTGATTTTGGGATTGGTTTTAAAATAATTCAGAAAAGAGGAAAAAGACAAGAAGGGTGGATGGAGTGATTGAAGACGGGTAAGCAGAGGTGGATCTGACTATTCTCTCTCCTTTTGGGCATGTCTAAAATTCTTCATAATGACAGATCTTGAATATACAGGGGAAAGTGGGGGGAAGGGCACCGTAAAAGCAGACGGTCCCTAACACCACCTCTGCCACCTACAAATGCCGCTCTCCGCTGCTGGGAGGGTTACTCGCTGGTTCCTGGATGGGGTCAGCAGTTAGCAGCCAGCACTCACCCCTGCGCTCATGCGGAGGGCTCGGGAGGGAGCCTGCAGCCCTAAGCGCGTCTGGAGCTTCCTCCTCTCCGGCGCTGGACCAGCTTCCTGGCAAGCCGCCCTCTAACAGCGGTTGTGTATGTGGCGGGCATGGCCTGTGCAGCTCGGCCCCCGCAGCCAGGGAAACTCCCTCGCACTTAGCTCCAACGTGGGAGGAGCGTGGAGACGGGGGAGCCGTGGGGACAAGGGAGATGGAGGAGCCAGAGGTCCTGTGACGGCTGCCCCTGAGCTGGAGAAGCATCCCTGCTCTCACCAAGTCCTGTGATGGCTGTGGTCCCGGTCCCGTGAGATCACCCTGCAGTCCTAACTCTTCCTCCCCCGATCCAGAAAGTACGCAAGCCTGTCTCGCATGCACAGCGATGTATAAAGTTCACAAGTCACTGGAAAACTCCATGCTTTGTCAGTAAGATGGTCTTGGTGACACAGCTCTCCACAGATTAAGTCCCCGTATCATCTCCCACCCTGAGAGGAAGGCCCCTGGCACCTGTGCTCCTACCACCTGCACAACCACCCCCCTTGTCTCCCCCTCCAGCTCCAGAGCCCCAGGGAGCAGCCGCACGGCAGGCTCCCCGCACGTGGATTTCAGGGAGGAAGTGAGGCTCCCGTCTTTGGGGAGAGGTTAAGCACGAGGCCTCGGACAGGCAGTGCTGGTGCCAGCTCCGCCTCCCTGCCAGTCACATACCCCAAGCCCGATGCTGTCTTCCTCCCGTGGGTGTGAGGTTCTTCCAGCGTTAACTCAGTGCTGCAGTGAGACATGCAAAGTGCGGGCACACAAGCATTTAGTAACTACCGTCACTCTGTCACCCCCACTCTGGGCAAGCGCCCTGAGCCTCCCTTGTTCATTGTTTCCTTACGCTTCGCCCAGGACAGTCCTCGCTATAGATTTGCTGAATGGATGAATCCGTCCATCCAGTAGCCACTAAGAGCCGGCCAGGAGCTGTGCTATGTGCAAAGGATGGAGCAGTGAACCGAAGAGCCAAGTCCTGGCCCCTCCGAGCGTATGTTCTCATGGGGGAGGCGGGCGGCACACATGTCGGTGAGCAGGAGGAAGCGGAGCAGGAAGAAGGGGGTGAGGAGAGCCGGGGGAGGGGAGGTCGCCCTTTTTTATATGACAAACGTCTCTCTGAGAAGGTGACATTGGGGCAGAGACTTACAGGACGTGAGGGAGCAAAGCCGCAGGTACACATGTGTTCTGGGCAGAGGCCACGCATGTCAAAGGGCCTGGAGCGGCCGTGCGTGGTGCTTCTGAGGCACAGGAGGCACTGCGGCTGGGGTGGGATGAGTGAGAAGGCTTTTAACTCTTTTTCTCTCCGATTAAAAATGAGCACACAACACAATTCAGTCATGGAAAAAGGTGTATTAAAATAGTCACAAATGTACAATTGAAAAAGAAAACAAAACCCATGAGCCTGATGGTCTTCCCCAGCTGGATACATTTCCATGGAAAAGCGACAGAGGGTTTGGATTGTATCTCTGAGTAACCCCTTGAGTGCTGCCTTCCAACAACCACACGGAATCCAGGAGGGCTCGTGCTGCCGGTAGAAGATGCGGGAAGGGCTCTTCCATTTAGAAGCAGCCCCGCGGTTGGCCTGGGACAGGAAGGCGGGGACGCGGAGAAAGGGCCCCAAGACCCACAGGAGTGGAGTGAGGGGCGGAGGGAGCACTGCGGGTGTGAGCCAGAGCGGTGGCTGCTGACGCCCAGCTGCCAAGCGCTGACCCATTGGAGGGGCTGGGTGGGTGGGAGGTGACGTGTCGGGCAGGTCGCATGGGGAGCTGAGGGAGAGGCCACCCGTGTGGTTGGAGGAAGTGCGGGCGGGTGCTCTGGGTGGCAGCTCTCAAAATGAAACGAAAGGAGAAACTGGGGCTGTTGCTCTCCCGAGCCATTAGGAGTGGATAGCTTATTCACAGGCCTGGTGAGAAGGAAGAAAAAGGAGGACACCCCTTTTCTCTGTAAAATGGGGCCGTCAGGGAACGCCCCACATCTAACCGCACATCTGCCTCTGGATGTGTCCTTTCCGGCTTCAAAACAAAGGCTCACGAGTACCGTTACCTGGGAATCTGTCTGGAAAGGGGACAGCCCAACACCCATCCTCCCTCCCCGCACCCACTAGGGCTTGTTTTCAAACGGATGCAGGAAGCTTTAGGAGGCAAGGTGGACCTGGGTGGGCCGTCCTGGGCGGACTCAGGGTCCCGGGCTCGAGCTGGGCCCATGAGCAGGAGGAGAGAGGCCTCAGGGCGTATACTCGCCCCGACACAGCGCAGACCACAGCCGCCAGCCTCTGGACAGGGAGGGTGTGCATGACCACAAAGCCCCCTGCATACGATACATGAACGATACATTGGCTGGACCCTGGGGAAGAGCCAGCAGCTCCTCAGAAAACAAGACCATGTGTCCTCTCCCATTTGATCACCTCCACACCTTCCCACCCAAACCCTGCGTGACGCCCTGAGAGTCCTCCTGGAAGCCGGCCAAACTGCCTCACAGAGACGACAGAAGCCGGGAGGAAAAGGAAGCAGCTGGTGGCGGACCCCACACCACAGGGGAAATGGACATTGCCGCCACTCCACTCCCCAGCCATGTCCTGTGACCTCCGCCACTGTGGGCTTTCAGACCATTTCACATCTAAAACATTTTAATACAAAAGAATCCAGGAAATGGAGGAATGACAAATATAAATAAATGTTTAATGATCTCACTTTGCTTTTTAGTCCCAGTAATAACAGAAATCATAGGTTTGTGATGGGGCGGGGGTTGTCGATGGGACAAAATGAATGACCTGAACTGTCTAGATTTTTCCTCATCTCATTGTTCATCAATTCCATCAATGGGGGAAATGTGGAAAATGAACAAAAACAACAGGAACAGAGGAGAGATTCCCAAAGTAGAAGGAGAAGTGCTAGTCCTACTTGCTGATCTGAAAACACCAGCGGCCTTGAGCCTCAGAGGCCCCTGCAGCTCCGAGCTCTCTGCGTCCAGAAGGAAGACGATTCCCTAGAGGGCGCCCTGGATCCGACAGCGGCTACCTGATTACAGCAAAGCTCGCCTCTCAGGGGCTCCCGTCCCCAACAATTCACGTCTCAACCTGGCAACCCTTTCCTGCTGAAACCTGTGTGATCGGTCACGTGTCTCTCAGGCGGCGAACAAAGGAGAGAGAGCCTGAGTCCATCTACCGCTAAACCTCACATTGTTAACATCTCAGGAAATTGTGCTGTGAATATTTTTGTAGGGTTTGTTTTTTTTTGCTTTTATTGCTGCTTATTATTAAGCTTTCATTTTTTACATTTCATCTCCTTTTTGTTAAATTTTCATTTACATTTCAAGCCCTTTTTGTTTGAAAGTGTTTATTTATAAATTAAGCAGTACACTAGACATGTACTGTATATAAGAACAGATCATTTGGGGGTCTGGAGTGGACTAATTCAGTTTACATGATTTCTAATGGGAAAAAATGATTCCGTTTTCGAACAGCCTTCTGGGACGAATTAATGCGAGAACGGAGGTTCTGTGTACCCCGTTCCTGCCCACCTGGAAGGCAATGAACTCCTCCCTGGCAGCTGCGCGGGCTCGTTTCCAGCAGCAAAGAAAGTGACACCTGCACTCTGCTCCCCAGGCCGCTGGCTCCTCTTTCAGTTCCATGTGAAGGGTCCTGCTCTGAGGGCACCGAGGAACTGGCCCCGGCAGCTCTCCCTGCTGACCTTGCTGTGATGAACAAGCTGACATGAAAGGGTGTAACCTTAAAGTCTGTGTGACAACTTATGAGGCAAAAATGCTCTTTGCTTTAGAGCAGGGTTGGGGAACCTTTGACCCAAGGGCCGTATAAGGCTTGCAAAGGCATCAGGGTGAGTTAATTAAATGTTTGACCAAATATAGCAGACTAATTTTTAAGTTGATAATTCTGTCTGGCTTGAGAATATTATAAATACCCAAGTGGCACTTGGCAGAAAAAAGGTTCCCCACCCCTGCTTTAGAGAGAAAAAACATCGACAAAAGTTTCTCAAATTGTCTCCAAGTGGCATAGCTAACGGGTGTTTCCTAAAAACTACAAACAGTCGGAACAGACGGTGGGGGACAGGCCACCCTGGCTATGTCTCCTGCATCGTATCTTCATTCTCCAACTACAACAAATGCTAAGACTGGTTAAGCCCTTAGACAAAAAGGCCAAGTCTGCTGGGATACTAAGAGAGCGCTACATCGCCATTAAGGCACACCATATCCGAACGGTGGTGACAGGAATGTGGCTGAATTTCCCCAACTGTAAATGACCCTGGATGCAAAAAGTAGAAAAAAACAGCGAGACAATTTACATATATGTAGAACCATACCATCTTTCGTCATGCACCACTGCTCCTCTCATCCGAAGAGTAAACAGAAGATTTACACATATCCTTTACATCTCCTCCCCGTGCCGTCCGTGTCCCGGCCACGTGCTGTGGGCCACGCTGCGGCACAAGAGTCCAGTTTGAATTGGTTTCTTGCTTAGGATATGCTCTGGGTCTTCTCTTAATTTTTCCGGATGTCCGCATACACCACAGACTCTGACTTGTTAATCTTGTCGCTGTGGTGCCCACCAGAGTGGTCTAACTGCGCATATATGACTGGGCCCTGGAGGAGAGAGGCTGGATTAGGTTTGGAACACCTGGTGGTCGCTTCAGGTGCAGGTAGAAGCCGTGACTAAAGTGACAGCGGGGGCGAGGTCAGGGGTTCAAACATCTGACAGGTGGCTGCACATCCTGACCTTAGAGTCCCAGAGATTCTAAAATTATAAACAGCAACAAGAAAAACAAAAGAGTCCTGGTTTCAGAAGACGCGTTTAACTGGCCTGCGATCCAGGGACGGTCTCCTTGAGAAGTCTAATGCTGTACTTAAGCTTTTGACTTGGAACTAATAAGCTCAGCAGCTAAAAGCAAGTAGTTTAAAATAAACATCCTTGCCCTGGCCAGGTAGCTGTTGGTTACAGCATCGTCCTGATGGCATTAAGGTTTTGGGTTCAATCCCTGGTCAGGGCACACACAAGAAGCAACCAATGAATGCATCAATAAGTGCAACAACAAACCGATGCTCCCCGCCCCCCCTCAGGTTGGTATGCGATGCTCTCACATCTGTCGTGGGCACTCTCACATCACATTGTTAACACTGAGTCAGAGACTCTACATTCATGCCAGGAAGCTGCAAGTTAAATGTAAGCCCAAAAGGAAGAGAAGTTGAAAGACACACAACGTGTTTTCCACTACAGCTGGCCCTTGAACGAGTTGGGTTTGTACTGTGGGGTCCCCTTATATGAACATTTTTCTCAATAATAAACTGGAAAGCTTTTTGGAGATTTGTGACTCTTTGAAAAACCAGATGAAAGGAGTAGCCTTGAAATACTGAAAAAATTAAGAAAAAGGTATGGCACGAATGCATGGAGCATGTGTGGATGCTAGTCTATCCTGTCGTTTACCACCACAAGGCATGCAGTCATAGACAGCAGGTTGGGAGTAGTTAAGTTTTGGAGGAGTCAAAAGTTGTATGCAACCCAGCGTTGTCCCTGGGTCAACAGTACTAGGACCAGAAGGAAAACAGTGTTCTCTTGCGAGCTAATTGACCCCTGCTTACAGTCACTTCCAAGGACAGGACAGACCCTGACACTGTATGTAACTTCCCAGAGAACAACCCCCCACCATAATTCATAAACACCCATAAGGAGTTTTGGGGTGTGCTCGTGGGAGAAGGAGCTTATACATGAGACACACAGTAAAAATGGCTACAAATCCTTTCTCAACTCCGCTCTGGTGTTACATGACAAATGCTGAAAAGAGACAATGAATTGACACAAGGGTTGAACAATTTCTCACCATCCTGCAGAAAATGCCAGAGGCAGGCCTGGGCGGGCAGGGGATTGACGCCAGGAGAGATGAGCCAGTCCTGACTCAGGGCCATGGACAAGCAGGGGGAGGGGTCGGCCCTGAAAACAGGTTGGGGCGGGCAAGTTCATGAACTGAACAGTGAGCCCTCTTCATTCTCTGCTCAACTCCCTGTGGAGACATCAACCAACTCCAGAGAAAGGACCCTCAGCAACTGACCATGGAGGCCCCCAAAGCCTCCAGCCAGCCCTTTAACACAGCAAAGCCACGACCCAGAGCTCCAGCTCAGACCTGCGGCCATGGGTCTGAGTGGAGAACCCAGGACCACTGGGCATTTCAGGAAAGCTTCTGACATGAGACAAAGATATTATAAGAGAAAAGGGGACTTCAACAGAAACAGAGCCAAATCAGTATCAGAAGAAAGCTTTAAAAAACAGAGCTTGCAAAACGAGAGAAAATGATATACTCAAAGAGATACGACGCCCTGACCGGTTTGGCTCAGTGGATAGAGCATCGGCCTGCGGACTGAAGGGTCCCAGGTTCGATTCCAGTCAAGGGCATGTACCTGGGTTGCGGGCACATCCCCAGTGAGTGGTGTACAGGAGGCAGCTGATCGATGTTTCTCTCTCATTGATGTTTCTAACTCTCTATCCCTCTCCCCTCCTCTCTGTAAAAAATCAATAATATATATATATATATATATATATATATATATATATATACAAAAAGAGATACAACAATGCATCCATGAAAACAAATGCAGGATATTATAACCAGAGAATAAGAAACAGCTCTTGAGCTGGCGTCAGAGCCGCGCCTGTCGGTCAGGACGTCACAGATGCAGCTTGCCATTGGCCTTCTGTAGCCAACATGCGGGCGTGTCGCTCTTCCTGCCATGGGCCTCAAGAGGCAGGAAGGAAGCTGGCGCTCTCTGGGCCCCAGGTTCCCGGACACAGTCTGAGGCAAGGTGGAGGGTGTGCGGGGCCTTCACATGCATTCCAGGCTTCTGCCCATCACAACATATAAAGCAACTGCACCTGGATTTCCCCCAACAACTTGCATTTCCTCCAAGTCTTCCTTAACCCTACGGAACAGGAAGCTGCCACTGAGGAGGGCCCAGTACAGGGGCTGCTTTCTTTTCTACTCCTCCCCCACCCCCATATTAAAATATAGATTTATTTTTGTGGTCCCCCAAAAAAGATAACAGATATTAAATACTCAACAAAAGTTGGAGGATAAAGTTGGAGAAATTTTCTAGAAAGAACAAAAAAAGCAAAACAGAAAAAAGGAGAAAAACGAAAAGATTGAGCTAGGACATGGTCCAATTCCTAACAGGAATTTCCAAAAGAGAGAAAATGAAAGGAGGAAAGTTTCCAGAGATTAATGGAAGAAAATATCCTAAACTGAAGGACATGGTTTTCGGATTAAAAGAACCCACTGAATAGCCAGCACAATGAATAAAAGAAGACCCACAATTTTGTGCAGTTTCAGAACATGAGGAATAAAAACCATTCTGAGAAAGGGCACAGGAAGAGGCAGAAATCAGAACAGTAGCAACTCAGCACTAGAAGCAGAAAAGTCAGCAACGCCGTCAAACGCTGGAGGGAAGTGATTTCCCACCTGGAATCTACGCAACCAGATCCTCATTCAAGCAGAGGGAGGAGAAAGCAATGTTACACATGCTGCAACAGATGTATTAGCTCCCAGTGTTGGAGGTCAGAGGGCTGACCCGGGGCTGCATGTGATCAAGGTCAGCAGGGCCGAGATCCGCTGCCAGACCCTCAGGGAGGACCCGTCTCCTTCCCCTCCCAGCAGATGGAAGCTGCCTCATTCCTTGGCTCATGGCCCAGCCTCCATTGTCAAAGCCAACAGCATAACCTCTTCAAATCTCTCTGGATCTGACCCTGTGGCCGCCCTGTGGTCACCCCTGGCCCACACAGATCATTCAGGAAAATCTGCCCATCTCAAGATCCTTACCACAGCTGCAAGGCCCCTTCTGACCGGTGAGGTCACACATCCCACAGGCTCCAGGGCAAGGGCGTGGACATCTCTGGAGGCTATTACGCTGCCTCAAAATCTTTATCTCCCGTACACCCTTTCTCAAGAAGTTACGGAGGATACGCTCCACCACAACATGGGAATAAACGGAACAGGGGAAGACATGCGGTCCAAAAGAAGAGGGGCCGGAAATTCCTCGGAGGGGAGGCCCAGGACTGCGGCCCAGCAGCCCGAGGCACAGCAGAGCCCGCGGTGCGAACAGGCCCGTCTTCAGGAATAGAATGAAACCAACGGAGCATGTGAATGAGGGTGGTTGAGTGTTCCCAGGGGTTTTAATGGGAGAGCTTTGAGATGGATACAGATAGGTACTTAGAAGACTGAGCAAATTAAAAAAAGGCACATCTTAGCTCCATAAAAACAAGACAACTGTACAAGAAACAAATATATGTGGTACCATGGTGAAAACAACGGGGACACGTCACACTGAAAAACATCTACCTCAATATAGTGAGCTAAGCATCCTGGGAAGAGGCCTGCGTGCAGACAGTAGGGATGTGCGTGTTGGGAGGAAGGGTTAGGGGGAAGAAAGAACTAAATTCTCATTTCCATAATATGGAGTCAATGAGTAATATCCAAAACTGAAAACTCTAGAAACAGGAATACAATATGAAGATAAATACCAGAAGAAGTGGCTGAAAGAATGGGAAGTGTTTGGCTATGACTTCTTCAACGTTTTTTCCTCTTCCCTTTCCTCTGAGGCTCCAGTCGGGCTGCTGGGATCTGCCACAGTTACAGTCATAACAGCACAGCCACGGCACCAGCCACAGCGCTGGGTGCTGTGCAGGTTCCAATAAAGCTATGTCTCTTCGGTGCTCCCGACAACAAGTAGCAGCGTAAGCCTCTGCTTGCTCATGGGGCCTACTCATTATTCACTACAGGCCTACCTTCAACTTCTTCTAAAGAATTCATGCAAGCCCTAGCTGGTTTGGCTCAGTGGATAGAGCGTCGGCCTGCGGACTGAGGGGTCCCAGGTTCGATTCCAGTCAAGGGCACATGCCCAGGTTGTGGGCTCAATCCCCAGAGGGGGGCGTGCAGGAGGTAGCCAACCGATGATTCTCTCTCATCATTGATGTTTCTATCTCTCTCTCCCTCTCCCTTCTTCTCTGAAATTAATAAAAATATTTAAAAAAAAAAAAAAAAGAATTCATGCAGCCCTAACCGGTTTGGCTCAACGGATAGAACGTAGGCCTGTGGACTCAAGGGTCCCAGGTAAGGGCATGTACCTTGGTTGCGGGCACATCCCCAGTAGGGGGCGTGCAAGAGGCAGCTGATCGATGTTTCTCATTGATGTTTCCAACTCTCTATCCCTCTCCCCTCCTCTCTGTAAAAAAATCAATAAAATATATTTTTTAAAAAAAAAGAATTCATGCAAAATAATTTTCTGTTTATTATCAATACCAAGATCAACGTCCCCTGCTGATTCCTTATCTTTAAAGCACCTCAGTGAGGAATGCAATTCACTGGATTTAGTTCCCTGAGCAATTAAGGAACCTTTTACGGCTGCCAAAGCCATCTCCCGACTCTGCGACTCTACGTTGGCCATGGGAGCCACATCCTAAGGGCACAGTCTGTTAGTGGTGCTCTGCTGGGAACCTTCGCTCAGATCAGATTCCGTATCTCCTTTCCCTCTCTTTCTGTCTCCATCTGTCTGGCTGTCACTCTCTCCCTGTGTCGCGGCTCAGCACTCCCTCCCGCACTAGGGTGGTGGCAGCGCCCACCTGCACAGCCCGGGGCAGCCAGTGTTACCTGGTGAGATCCAGAAGGCAGGCTCTTTACTAGACCCTCTGTGTCGGAGGGGAACTTCCGTGGAGCCTGCTTAACCGGTGACACACTCTCTGAGGTGCTGCAGCTGATCAGTCGGCAAATTGGAGAACAAATGTAAAAAAAGAATGTTTTTAAACAAATGGAAACAAAAATACAGAAATGCAAGTGATGGCGAGGCAAAGCAGCAGCAGGTGGACATGAACAAAACAACAAAACAATGGTATGGAAAGAATCACGTATATTGAAACTGTCTCCCTGAAGCTTGTGGTTCCACATCTGTGAAGCTACTGCTGGGGAGTGGGAGCCCTTGGCCTGTTTCCAAGAGCGACATCAGCTGGACGGATCCTTGCTGTGTATCCTTGGTCCCCAGCCTTTTCCCTCTGCCATCCACCCTCCTTTGGGATAAAGATTTAAGGGAGCAGCTATACCTTCCTAAAGGCAATTCACTTTAGTGAGCATCAAAGGCAAACCTCTTCTGAATGCATTTCAAAAATTACAGATATACACTCAGGCTCAGAGTCTTGGTTTGTCTCACTCCTTCCATTCCCTGGTTCCCCATATTTTGTTTCCCCGAGACAGTGACCAAACTAAAGAAGACCCAGGTGCGAGTGATAAGGAGCTGTGGAATGCCCATCACACGGGCTGAGCCCTTCCGGGCAGGATCCTCAACAAGCCCGATCTCATGAATAAATCAGGGAAATCACTCACCAGTGATTTCCTAATGGGATGTGTCGTCAGCGGAGCTTAAATCCTTTATGATGTATGTTTTTTAAATCTTAGAGGAATTTTTGGGAGGATCCCATTTTAAGTGTCACTCTTAAGACTGAAGCACCCAATGAATTCGCTACTGTGCTTCTCTGAAACGGGAGGTTTTATGACCCAAACCAAAATGGTTTGACTATTCTAACAGAGTGTCCCAATCATTAATAATACAATTCACATATAAAAAAAAGAAAACTGAAACACACACACACACACACACACACAGACGTTTTACATGAAGAACATGCATTTTCCGATGATCTCAAGCCTCCATGTAACCTGACAACCCCATCTCACTGGGTTGATGTGCTCAGTATGTTTCTAAAATAGACACGGACTTATCGGTGGACAAATCATAATAGCTGCTGGGTTAGCTCAGAGCTAGCTGGTTAGTTGCCATCTAGGGAGACGGGCCGAACACACACGAGTATTAACAGCCACGGGCAATGGGATTAGTTACCATGTGTCTAGTGGGAGTAGGAGAGCCAGCCCTGTGACAGTCCCAGGGTCAGCTTTTCTGAACAAGTGGAGGATAAGCAGGATCTATCCCGGCACACGAGGTGGAAAGGCAGGGGAGGGGAACCTAAGTAAGAAGAACAGCAGCATTCACGATGCCATGCAGGATTCGAAGGCACGCGCTCCGCCCCTTTAGTAACCCAAGAGCAAGAACTACAGAGTCCGGCATGTCACCACGTTGGATTAGTCTCATGTTGAAAACCAACACTCCAGATATATGTCATCAAAAAACACTCACCATGCAAGAGGGTAGATACAGGTCAGCAGAACAGAGGCATTCCAAGCAAGTAAAATCTGAATTTGAACACTCAAGCTCATTAAAACACAGCACTCCTCCTAAAAACTAGAACCTCAGAGCCGAGAGAGAGAGGGAGAGAGAGAGAGAGAGCGAGAGAGAGAGAGCGAGAGGAGGTTCCCAGCATCCACCAGGCAGCAGTGGGGCATGCAGCCTCAGAGCACAGTCCCGCTGGGTGGCTGTGGTTAGCCCGTGCACCTGGGGCCCAGCTCGTGTTAGGAATCGGCCTCCACTCTCTTACCACGTGAGTCCTACTTAGCTTATGTGGGTTAGCTTTCCAGCTGGCGTAGGGAGAAGAGAATGTCCTTCAATTAGACTCACACCCCGAGTTCAAGGGTATTCTCTTTGAGAAGACATAAACAAAAAGATCTACATTTCTTTACTGCCGGTATATGTTGGTTTTCAACCCTTATTATCTCCATTGTGATGAGTCCAGCCATACATTCAAGAAAGATCAAAGTCATTCACTTGCCAGCAAAACTATAAAAAAAGGAGCCCTGTCCTGTGCCATCCCATTGGGGCGGGGGGGTCATTTATTAGCACAACTCTTCTTGATTCGTTTTATAGCTGCCTAACTGAAAAGAAGCACCTGATGAGATTATCGCCAAGAGATAAAAATTAAACTCTGAAACTGGGTAAGTGATGTCTGTGGCTTAATAATGCCACTGGCAGAGTGGCTGGTACTAAAACAGAGCCGGGACCGCTGAGCCGCTGGCTGCACCAAATCTGGGGAAGAAACTGGGAAACAGGGATTTGTGTCCAATCCCACACTGACCAGCAGGCCACTAGTCACCTAAGCAGACTGCCTGATTCTGGCATTAAAGCAAACTGTACTAGTAGCAAACTCTTCCCAATTATTTTCTCCATAAAAAATACAGACGTTTTTGTAAACCCTGGTCCCTACCCGCTCCCCTCCCCGGAAGCAGTTTCTCACCCGGTGTAATCCCGCTTCGAGCTTCTCCTTCTGTAGAGGACAGCCAGAATCATGCTGATGAGGAGGGTGAGCCCCACAACCACAGCGGTCACAATACCCACCACCACCCACACCGGAAACACGGGCAACACCTCTGGAGAGAAAGAACAAAGCAGTGTTAAGGTCCATTGTGACAAAGAGAAGAAATGGAGTTTTATTCAACTAAGAAGCAAGTTATCATACCCTTCATTATTGTCCAAATTATGAGATTCTAGTATCTAAGTAATGACATGCAAAGAGTAGCTGACAGAAAATGAGATACAGAACTCAGCATTTCTGCACACACAATCCCTCTCAATGCACTAGGATCCAAGCAAAACTGGGATGTGGCTTTACCTCCATCTACTCACCCACAAAGCAGACGTCGTGGGAGACACCAGAACCTGCATTTCCTGCTGCTTCTCCAAAAATGGAAGAAACAGCTGTATTGTTTGCACAAACGCTAACACTCTCTCTTGGAGAATACTGAGACAGGACTGGCCTTCTTCTTCCCCAGGCTCAGCCCATCGAGCATCGTGAATTTGGTCTTACTTCTAATTCACATGAAAAAGTGATCCTCCTGAACCTGGGCCACCGGGCTTCGGACGGCAGATGGACACATGGAGAGACCGGCTGCTCACCCCGCATGTGGGCAGCAGTGCCCACCCTCAGGTTCCCAGAAACAGGGCGCATAGCCACTGGCAGATCGCTCCCGGCACACACACCCCCCACAACGTGCTCTCGTTTGCCACTCAACACGCGACACAGGGGACTGCGCCTTTACTGCCCAAATACTCCGGAGGTACCTTTCTCTACAACATAGAGGCGAATGTATCCCGGGTAGACGACGATGTCGGGAGGGTTTTTGACATCACAGATGTAGGTGCCGTTATGGATGAACTGTATATTTTCTATGTTGATCGATGCGTCTTTCTTGTCGAGGTCCCCAGCCCAGGTGATTCTGTCCTTGAAGGGCGGGTAGTCCCCGATGTACACTTGCCCTTGGGAGTAGTGGAAAAACTGCAATTAGAGAAAGAGGACACGTGAGCGCTTCCCAAAAGCAGGAGTTCTCCACGCTGCGCACGCGGGGTGCTGTGCGGGCTCTGCACAAAGACGTCAAAGGGAAAGAAGCACGTCCCATTGCAATGTCGCGGAATCCAAGCCAGACAGGGATTTAGTTTCTGCTGAAAAACACACTGTGTGTCTTCTCTCCTCCTCTCAACATCCCTGAGATACAGGGACAACCACAGTGACAACCACGCATAGTTTTACACATAAAAGGGAAACTCAAGCCATTTCCTCAAGGTCACAGCTGATAACAGGTCCCGGCAGAGAGTCACAAAGGAGGAAGTGAGGCTCAGCACTCAGTGACTCCATGGAGATAAAGGTCTTCGCCCCGGGCTATCCTCCTAGCACTCTCTGTGGAAGTTCTACAGTCTCCACTTCACAGAGGAGAGGCGAGCGTGGGGCCCTGGTTAACAAGCACCCAGCCGAACCAGCACTCATCTGGTTCTTGACTAACCTTCCTTTCAACCCCACGGCCTGCACTTCTGTTCTGCCACCTCCTCGGGGTGACTCACCGACAGTCTTACTCCTAATTGCTCCCGGGCGACAGCACAGGCTGCTAGCCCCCATTTCTGAACACCTCACAGACTCCCTGCACAGAGAGCTCCTGGACTATCACTGGAACGGATAGACGTGCGTGTGTGTGTGTGTGTGTGTGTGTGTGTGTGTGTGTGTGTGTGTGTGTGTGTGTGTGTGTGTAAATACTTAAAAGAAATACAAATAAAAGTGAAGCAAATGGCAGCTGAACAGAGGCAGGATGAATCGTGAATGGAGTCAACAAGGTAAGCCAGGGGCTGCCCTGTGGAAAAGATACATTTCAAAATGGGATGTGATGGTGGAGGAGACGGGAGGGATGGCAGGTGACCGTGACCCACAAACACGAGAAAACAAGCTGCGTTTAAGAGAAACTGAACTGGTTTTTTCCTGGAGAGCTGGAAGCAAGAGAAGGGCCCTGAAGTCTGTGCCAGATGACAGCCTCACTGGGTTTGGGAGAGATGGGTCAGAAGGGCTCAATGAACACACGCAGCGGTGGGGAACCTCTGCGGGAGGGCTAGCCAAGAGCAGGCAGGCAGGCACTCCTACCGACACGGTGGTGTGGGATCCCTCTGGCTGGAAGCTCCAGGAGATTGTGGTCAACCTGCTGGTGGTGTTCGCAGACTTGAACTTGCACGGCAGCTTCCCTTGGGTCCCATTGGCCACGTAGATTTCCTTTGGGGTGTATACCTCCAAGGCTGACACGCCAGCAGTCACTGGAGAGAGAGAAACAGGAAGGGGTAAGAGTAGGATTGCATGGCCCTGGCTGGGTAGCTCAGCTGGTTAGAGCATCATCCAATGTGCCAACATTATGAGTTCGATTCCAGTCAGGGAACATACAAGAATCAACCAGTGAATGTGTAAATAAGTAGAACAACAAATGTATCTCTCTCTCCGCCCCCTCCCCCTCTTCCATCCTCGGTGTCTTTCTCTCTAAAAGCTGTAAATAAAAATTAAAAGAAAAAAAGAGTAGGCTTTAGCATGAATACCACAGTGCATATTTATCAGAGAAAATGACAAAGATACAAGAAAATTACTATATATATAGATAGATAGACACACACACACACACACACATATACAGTAACCTGCTGCCATCATGTGCTGTATAAATCTCTGTCAAAATATTCTATAGCGCCCTAACCGGTTTGGCTCAGTGGATAGAGCGTCAGCCTGCGGACTGAAGGGTTCCAGGTTCGATTCCGGTCAAGGGCATGTACCTTGGTTGCGGGCACATCCCCAGTAGGGAGTGTGCAGGAGGCAGCTGGTCGATGTTTCTCTCTCATTGATGTTTCTAACTCTCTGTCCCTCTCCCTTCCTCTCTGTAAAAAAAAAAAAAAAAAAAAAAATCAATAAAATATATTTTAAAAAATATTCTATAGCCAGGTACTTCCTACAAACAGGATAAATTGCTGATGGTCTAGGATAATTTTATTTTTTAGTAACAAGATGTTTTTAGTACTATTATAGTTTATCCATTCACTTGCTGAAGAACATCTTGGCTGCTTCTCTGATGGCCTGATTTTATTTTTTTAAATATGTTTTTATTGATTTCAGAGAGGAAAGGAGAGGGAGAGATAGAAACATCAATGATGGGAGGGATTGTATATTTTGACTTGGGTGGCTTTTGTGTATTTTGACCAGGGTGGCTTTTCTTCTTCAAATTGTTCTCACATTCACGTGTTACACTGTAGTTGCTAGCACACTGAACTTTTCTCATCTTCCTTTTTTTTACTGATTTGAGAGAGAGAGGAAGTGGGGGATAAGAAGGGAGAGGGAACGAGAGAGAAAGGAAGAAACATTGATTTGTTGCTCTACTTATTTATGCATTCACTGGTTGCTTCTTATATGTACCCTGACTGGGGATCGAGCCTGCAATCTTGGCATATCAGAATGATGCTCTAATCAACTGAGCTACCCGGCCAGGGCTTATCTTCTATATCTAAAGCAATGAAAGCTATTCTAGGTAAGATGACATGTCATTTAAAAGCCTTGCTTTCTTATTTAACCCACCCAACAGACCCATGCCTTCATTGGTGAAGTCGGTGTGCTAGGTACATGCATACTCACGAAGTAGTCGACCACACTGGGTCCCATTTTAATTCACCCGTTGACATTTTCCAGTTAGCCTAAGCCCAGGAAATAGTACTTAAAATCCTATCAGTCAGAATATAAAAATAGCTTTCCCCCCCAAGATCCATAATCAGAGGCAACTGCAGGAATTATGAGGCTTACTGCTAAAATAAAATAATCTTCCCTCAGAAAGAGGCACTTTCATGGAAACAATGAAGGTTACAAAAAAAACTTATTTGACCTATAATTGGAAACCAGGAGAGCAAATTCAGAACAGATTAAAAGCACCCATCTTCAAAATAAGGCATTTTTCTAAGACATCGCTTGGAGAGAATCCGTATCTGGAGCGTCCCAGTTACTCTCAGAATGCCACGGACCGGCAGAGTAGGGAGGCGCTGTCCCGGGACCGAGGGACTCCGTCAGAAGTCTCCTTCCCGAGTCTTAGCTGGGACTCCCAGCCCTCACAACCATCTTCCAAATATTTATTCTCAGGACACAATGGGCACTTTTGGCTATTCTTTCAAATAGCCGATAGCCACACTACACCAGGCAGATTTTTTCTGCTAAAGAGGGTGGATTATTATTATAGGGAACAATGGGTTATTATTTGTGGTCCAAGCCTCCAAACAAGCCCTCCTTCCACACAAGAAGCAAACAAAAGGCGTCCCACGCCATTGTGGGCAGCAGCCCGGCAGCCCCGGGCCCTGGAGTTCGCCACACAGGACAGAGCCAGGCTGGCCGCTCTGACCCCCGGTTCCAGGAAGCGGCGCGGCCTGGCAACCTGATTCACCCTGTGATTCCGCCAGTGTTCCCCACAGTGAGGAGCCCCACAAGGAAAGGCCGTCTTTAAAGTCAATAAATAAGGTTTCTCAAGGATTTTCCCAAACCAGGCCTGCCCGGAGGCCTGGCTGCAAGACTGTCACCCTGAGTGTGATTGACAGATGGTCTTAGGCCAAGAGTCCACGTTCCCAGCCAGGAATTTGAACCAAAGACTAGCCAAATCCCTGAATGGCTTTGGGACAATCTGTTTAAGACAGACTTAATTACGCAACCGTCTTGGTCCAGCCCCACCATACTGCACTTGGTTATCTCAGTGGCTTCCTGCTGGTGGCTGTTTCTGCCTTCACCCACTTACCTGCCGCCAATCCAGGGACTGGCCAGAGAGATCCGGTCCGAATGCCCGGCAGCTCTTATCACTCCTTTGCTCAGAACCCTCCAGGGTCCCTCACATCAGCCAGGATCAGGCCACAGCCCTCACAGGCCTGGCCACCACACAGACCTCTCCTCCACGTCCCCCTGAACACGCTGCAGCGACCACGCTGGTCACCTGGGCTCCTCTGCTTGTGATGAGCACCCCAAGTCTAGAGACTGGAGGTGTCCTAGGCGATCGTGATGCGTGAGACAGGAGGGGAGAGGGATCCCCTGTTGAAACGCTGAGTCTCTGCACAGCTGACCCCAGGGAGCAGGCCCAGCGGATGCCCTGCGTAACACTGCCCGCGGTCACCACGCACAGGACAGACCCCAAAGTGCACAGCACTGCCGTCTCTGACCAACCACGAGGGGCCTGAATGAGACGGTTGGGAGGTTTCTCCCATCTGAGTAATGAGAGGAACTAAACACAGGTTTCCTCTGGGACCACATTCCCTGCAGTCCCAGCAGGAGGAGCTGGCTGGCCTGCTAACAGGGGGAACAGGGTGCTTTGTGCAGACTTCCTCTAAGGGACTTGGGAGGACATGGACATACACACTGAGTTCACTGTGGAATTCAGAGGGCTCGTCCTCAGAGTCATAGAGAGTTTTCAGGGGCTAGTGAAAACAGAGAATGTAAAGAACGCTGAGATGTAGAGAAACTATTGTTCTAACCTACATCCTCCAGGCACTGCCACTGGAATCAGTCTGAATAGGAGAGTAAATAGGTTTATTTTACGCTGAAGAATTAATAATCGGGATAGTGGCAACAATCGCTGCAAAAAATATGAAAGCTTCAGTTTAACAACCCATAGATGGGAGGGAAAGTGTTGAATCCCCGAAGAACCAATTGCCTCAGGAATAAAAACACAGAAATGAAATGAGAAGATGAAGTGATATGCCAATGTTTTCCTATCCCAACTCTAGATCCCGGGTATATGTTAACGCACACATACGCTTCACCATGGCAATAGGAGCTGAGCTCACTTTCTTCCTGAGGAAGGAATCTTGCCTCTAGAGTTGGAGGGCAAGAAAACAAACGAAAAGACAGAGTCAAATGAAAAGAGCCTGAAAAATCATGAGATAAGTGGTCAAAAAATTTGAGGAATCTACTCACCAGGGGTCAAATATCAAACCCAAAAGTTGATGTTCTTCTATTTTGGATGGAGAACCAGAACAGTTTGGAGGTTAGGGGGAGGGGGAAGCAAACGGAGAATACAAAACAACATCCATCCCAGCCACAACAGAGAAAGCACATTCAAGGATGGTCTGCCCAAGAGGCTATTCTGGACAGGATCTATTCAATACTTTAAATGATTGCATTAATATAAGTAACGCCTCCCAACGAAGTTGTCAAGATGATTTTACTCTACGTGAACTCAAACGCTCACACCATAAAGTCATCTGAAATACACCGGAGAAGCATTGCTGGAGCGAATCAACACTCTCATGGCCTAGATGGGGGTTGGAAACTGTTCTCATGGAAGCAATTCCTGGTCGTGTCACTGCTGGGTCCATTGTAGTGCCCTGGTTTGTCAAAACCTCATCCTGTTAACAAACTGTGTTAAGATTCTCCTTGAGATGAAAAGAAGGCTTTTGTTTTGAAAAATTGTGGAAGCACTTTGATGTCACCAGTATATTCTCCTGCTTAAAAGAGTGCAATAAAGCAATTTATTTAAAAACAGCTCTCCAGCCTGTCTGTCTGGTGTTGGTACACAGAGGGCGGTGAGACTGCAGTGTCTCCTGGTACAAGCATGGACATGACCTTTTACATCACATGAAAAGAGAGGAGCCAGGGAGAACACTGGCACAAAATTCACCCAGTGGTCATGAGGATAATGTTCAGTTTCCTAGGTTAGAATGACAGCAGGCAAGCTTTTTTTTTTTTTTTTTTTTTTTTTTTATCCTCACCTAAGGATATTTTTTATTGATTTTAGAGAGAAAGAAAGGGAGAGACAGAAACATTGATGTGAAAGACACACATCACACCCTAACCAGGCAATCAAACCTGCAACCTAGGTATGTGCCCTGATCGGGAATGGAACTCACAACCTTTTGGTGTATGGGACGACACTCCAACCAAATGAGCCACTGGCCAGGGTACACGAACTCATTTTAATATTCCTCGATCGACTCTACACACACCCCATACCTACACTCAATCACATTTTCCGTATATATTTTATTTTTCATAATACAAACCTCTTTTTTATTATTTTTTAAATATTTTTATTGATTTTTTACAGAGAGAAGGGAGAAGGATAGAGAGTTAGAAAGAGAAACATCGATCAGCTGCCTCTTGCACTCCCCCCACTGGGGATGTGCCCACAACCAAGGTATATGCCCTTGACTGGAATCGAACCTGGGACCTTTCAGTCCGCAGGCCACCGCTCTATCCACTGAGCCAAACCAGTCAGGGCAATACAAACCGCTTTTTAAAGAGAGAAGACATCAGT